CTATGATGTTTTCAGTTGTTGTTATTTTGGGTTGTTGTAGGTTTTTTCAGGCTATATGGCTATGGTCTAGAGGCATGCTCTCCTGATGTTTCGCCTGCATCTATGGCAAGCATCCTCAGAGGTAGGGAGGTCTGTTGGAACTAGGAAAATGGGTTTATATATCTGTGGAATGACCGGGGGTGGGACAAAGGACTCTTGTCTGCTGGAGCTAGGTGTGAATGTTTCAACTGACCACCTTGTTTAGCATTTGATGGCCTCGCAGTGCCTGGAGCAAACTTTTGTTGAGAGGTGGTTAGATGTCCTTGTTTGTTTCCTCTCTGTTGTTGTGCTGTTGTAATTTTAGAGTTTTTTAATACTGGTAGCCAGATTTTGTTCATTTTCATGGTTTCCTCCTTTCTGTTGAAATTGTCCACATGCTTGTGGATTTCAATGGCTTCTCTGTGTAGTCTGACATGGTGGTTGTTGGTGTGATCCAGCATTTCTGTGTTCTCAAATAATAGCTGTGTCCAGGCTGGTTCACCAGGTGCTCTGCTATGGCTGACTTCTCTGGTTGAAGGAGTCTGCAGTGCCTTTCATGTTCCTTGATGTGTGTGTTGGGCAATGCTGCTGCGTTTGGTGGTCCCTCTGTAGACTTGTCCACAGCTGAATGGTATACGGTAGACTCCTGCAGAGGTGAGAGGATCCCTCTTGTCCTTTGCTGAACGTAGCATTTGTTGGATTTTCTTGGTGGGTCTGTAGATAGTTTGTATGTTGTGTTTCCTCATCAGCTTCCTTTGTCTCACCCTGGTCATTCCACAGATATATAAACCCTTTTTCCTACTTCCAACAGACCTCACAACCTCTGAGGATGCTTGCCACAGATGCAGGTGAAACGTCAGGAGAAAATGCCTCAAGAACATGGCCATATAGCCCGAAAACACCTACAACAACCCAGTGATTCCGGCCATGAAAGCCTTCGACAATACATTATTAGTTGTTGTAGCAAGTATAGAAGTCTTCAGACACATGTTACTCCAAGGATGTAAAGGGATGATAGTTATGGGACTCTACATAGCGTAGTAAAGTTATCCTTTTGGATCACAACTCCCATAATCCCTATGGCTGGGGATTGTGGGAACTGTAATAAAAAAAGTATGACTGTTCCAAAAGATGCTCAATTATTGTGTGATGCTATGGATTGAGCATTGCACAAGGAAACTGGGTTCAAATCCCCACTTAGGTGTGGAAACTCATTGGGTGACCTTGCACAAGTCACACTCTCTCAGCCCCAGAACCCTCTTTGACAGGTTCACCATTAATCTGAAAGACTTGAAGGGACAAGGTTTTGAATATCCCACAAAATTCCATTTGCCTGCCTAATTTGCTTCTTCTTCTTTTTTTACACCTTTTCTTGATGGAGAGAAGGAGGTGAGAGGGGAGGGAAGAAGGCGCTGCAAACAAAGTAATTAAGAGGCTTCCAGTCTTATTCTGGAATGGCTAATGAGGCAATTAGTAATAGAAAGAGGTGAAAGTACACAAGGCGGAGGGGAAATTGCTCTCCTCCGGATTCCTCCAGGAAAGGCAAGAAGATGTGATTGTTTCAAGAGGGGTCAAGTTTATCAGACTCCAAGCTTGCCCCTCTCCTCCAACAAGGATACACAGAAGATACCTTGAGTAACTCCAAGCTCATCTGGAGGTGCAAAGCAGGATTAATCATAGCAAGAAAGCTGGAGAGAAAGCTGCTTTGGATATTGCATTCAGTGCAAGGTTGCAGCCATTGATGGCTATGTAATTGCCTCTAGAACTACCCTTTACAGATTGGTTTTTGGGAATAAGGGATGGAGGGGTTCTGTTGCATTCATGTTGTACTTGACCTCCATGTGAGCAGAATATAGGACCAGATAGACCTTTGGTGTGATCCAACATGGCTCTCCTTTGGTTCTCTGTCAAGCCTGAGATATCCCACCATGCAAATGAGATAGAACTTGACAGATTAGAGAGATGGGCCAAAGCTAACAAAATGAAGTTCAACAGTGACAAATGCAAGATACTCCACTTTGGCAGGAAAAACGAAATGCAAAGATACAGAATGGGGGACGCCTCGCTTGAGAGCAGTACGTGTGAAAAAGATCTTGGAGTCCTCGTGGACAACAAGTTAAACATGAGCCAACAATTTGATGTGGCGGCAAAAAAAGCCAATGGGATTTTGGCCTGCATCAATAGGAGCATAGTGTCTAGAATTAGGGAAGTCATGCTACCCCTCTATTTTGCCTTGATTAGACCACACCTGGAATATTGTGTCCAATTCTGGGCACCACAATTCAAGAGAGATATTGACAAGCTGGAATGTGTCCAGAGGAGAGCGACTAAAATGATCAAGGGTCTGGAGAACAAGCCCTATGAGGAGCGGCTTAAGGTGCTGGGCATGTTTAGCCTGAAGAAGTGAAGGCTGAGAGGACATACGATAGCCATGTATATATATGTGAGAGGAAGCCAAAGGGAGGAGGGAGTAAGCTTGTTTTCTGCTTCCTTGGAGACTAGGTCGCGGAACAATGGCTTCAAACTACAAGAGAGGAGATTCCATCTGAACATGAGGAAGTACTTCATGACTGTGAGAGCCGTTCAGCAGTGGAACTCTCTGCCCCGGAGTGTGGTGGAGGCTCCTTCTTTGGAGGCTTTTAAACAGAGGCTGGATGGCCATCTGTCAGGGGTGATTTGAATGCAATATTCCTGCTTCTTGGCAGGGGGTTGGACTGGATGGCCCATGAGGTCTCTCCCAACTCTTTGATTCTATGATTCTAACTGCAAGGATAAACTAGACACCACGAGGACAGGACAATCCCCATATCTGCTGGAGAATAGTGGATAATAGCAAACCCTATTGAAATTAATTATTTTATACTAAGGAGGTCCTAGAAAACTCCCAAAGCAGTATCTTTTCTAAGAATTTAACTAGATCCTCCAATTTAATCTTATAGTAACTGTTCCGTCTTCCAGGAGCTTGGTTTGCTTTGCCCTTTAGTTGCTTGAAATAGCATCGCTTTGCTTTTTCTCAGGGTTGCTGCAGTCTTAGCAGCACCCTGAAAGTTGATTATTAAGAGCCGTCGCAAACTCTGTTCCTGCGGGAGCAAACCTTGCTAGCACGTCCCTGACGTCATGAGCCTGCGCCTCTCTCCCCGCCCCTTTCTCCGCCCCTTTCTCTTTGCCTGCTGCCCTAGCAAAGGAAAAACCACGCTGGCAAAGAGAAAGGGGCGGAGAAAGGGGCGGGGAGAGAGGCGGAGTCTCATGACATCAGGGACATGCTAGCAAGGTTTTCTCCCGCAGGAACCTAGTTTGCGACGGGTCTAACAGAGGCTGGAAGCCAGCCTGCAAACCTTTTGCAGCTATTGGTTTAAAAAGTGTCCTTTTGGTCTAGAGACCGCCCTTTTTCCTGGGGATGAGATCTCCATTTTGGAAAGGCTCTCCTGCTTTCTTTAGTATAGAAAAAGCCTCAGATGTGCTGGTGGCCATCTAGGCAAGCTCGGACAAACCATTGTGAGTACAATTGAGATTGAGATTAGGGTCGAGGTCACCCTCTTGCCTTTGAAACTGGCATTGAGCTCAGATAGAGAAAGACCTGCTCTTTCTAGAAGACAGTAGCTCATTGCTGGGGCAGGGAATATCTCCAGATTTCTCTGCCATTGAGAAAGGCTTCATTACTTCATCTCCAAAACTAATCTTATTTACTTTTACTTTATTTGTATACCACTCTTCTCAGCCCTTACGCTACCAGTATTAAAAAAAACTCTAAAATCTTGAGCTTAGATAGGGGAAGACCTGCTCTTTCTGAAAGATAACAGCTCAGGGTTAGGGTAAAAGATCCCAGGATTTTTCTACCGTTGGGGAAAAGTTAACTCGGTAACTGAAGGAAAAAGGAAAGAAAGAACATCTATATGGTTTCCCAAATTGACTGTTTGTGTTTGTAACTTCATCAAGCTGTGCCAAGTCTGTCAAGGACTTTGAAAAATAAATGTTCTGTTGATGTTCAAATCTGGACTGGCCTCAGTTGCTGAGAATCTTGAGCTTCTAAGAAAGGCACCCACGGTTCTCCCAGATAAAGAGAGAAGCACATCTTAGTTTTAACTTTATAGTGTCTGGGTGCCAACAACCACCACGTCAGACTACACAGAGAAGGCATTGAAATCCACAAGCATGTGGACAATTTCAACAGAAAGGAGGAAACCATGAAAATGAACAAAATCTGGCTACCAGTATTAAAAAACTCTAAAATTAGAACAGCACAACAGCAGAGAGGAAACAAACAAGGACATCTAATCACCTCTCAACAAAAGATTGCTTCAGGCACTGCCAGGCAATCAAATGCTAATCAAGGTGGTCAGTTGAAACAACCCCAATTCCTATATTATGAAGAGACAAAGCCTTCCTCTGGTGCCAAAGAACTGGCTTGAAGGCACTTGAGACTTCTCAAAGTCGTCCAGGTTGATCTGAACATGAAGCATAAGTCTCAAGGGTAAGAACCTCAGAATTGGTGCTGAGAGGTACCTTAATCAAGGGCTTCAGAGCCAAGTCTCTCTCTCACGTCCATCTGATAGAAAGTCTGATGGTGGAATGGAAAAGGAAACACTGTCCTGCTCTCTAGGAAGAGGTGGGGTCAAACAATTGAGCAGGACGAGCAATTTAACTGGTGCAAACAACATTGGTTGACAGCTATAAATAAACACTCAATCCAACTATACATTTACAGGGTAAAAAGGCAAAACCAGGCATGATACAACAGTTCAAATCCTGCAACTTACAGTTCTACATATAGGTGGCGCCATTCGCGCTATCACATGCATCTTCACTGTCAAATAATGCTATTTGGAATTGTATTGTATGGTCAGTGTGGACTGATATAATGCAATTTAGCGAATACAGTTTATAGGGGTCTAATGCAGTGTAGAGCCAGCCTTTGTCATCTTGGTTTAGTGCTTTAGTAAGAATTCTTCTTGCAACTAACACACATTTTGTTGATTTTCTAGTGAGAAGCTGGATGGAAAAGCTGAAAGATAAGGTAAGGGGGGTCTTCACTTTGTTTTAAGACACTGTATTTGTGTGGGGTATGTTTTGCTAAGATTGCAGTGACCTAGACCACGGATATGACTGCCTGGTAATGTGGTGGAGTCTTCTTCCTTTGAGGTTGTTAAAGGATGGTTGACCATCTGTCGGGAGGGCTTGGATTGTGTCTTTTTGCACAGCAGAAGGGAATTGGATTGGGTAACCCTAGGGGTCACTTCCAACTCTATTTTCCAGTTAATTTTGGGGGACACTTGATGCTCCAGCTATTACAACGAAGCTACAAAAATGTAGGATCTTTAAATCTGTTCTAGGAGTGGCAGAAGATGGGCTCGGTGCCAGCCGCTCACTCAGTATTCCTGCAGCCGCTTCCTCTGTTTTGCAGGCAGGCTACATGTCTGGCATGCTGGTCCCGGTGGGAGTTGGTATCGCTGGAGCCCTTTTCATCCTGGGAGCGCTCTACAGCATCAAGATCATGAACCGCAGGCGCAGGAACGGATTCAAGAGGCACAAGCGAAAGGTATCAAGGATGCTGTCGCAGTTGTCAGAATGCCCAACCTCCTCCCTTGCCAAAAAGCCTTGGAACAGTTGGGGCTCATAAAAAGCACTATTTTTGGTCTGCCGAGATCTGTGTGACAGTCATGCTGGGAAGAAAACACATTAAATTCATCCATCCCAGGCATTTAAAGCCTGGATCTGCACTGCCTTATATTACAGGATCTGATCCCAGATTATCTGGCAGTGTAGACTCATATAATCCAGTGCAAAGCAGAAAACCTGGGATAAAGTGCAATGTAAATCCAGTCAAAGTCCCTCCTAACTCCACTCAAACGTACTAAGCAGCTGGGGGGGGGGGGGGGGGCCCGAGGGCTGTTAGGAATTGTGGGAATTGTGGGAATTGAAGTCCAAAATATCTGGAGGGTCGAAGTTTGCCCATGCCTGGGCTAATTTATTTATTATTTACAGTATTTATATTCCTCCCTTCTCACTCCACAGGGGATTCAGGGCGGATTGCAATGTACATATAAATGGTCACCTCCAGATTGGACTACTCTAATGCACTCTACATGGGGCTGCCCTTGAAAACGGCCCGGAAATTTCAGTTGGTTCAACGGGCGGCGGCCAAGTTGTTAACTGGTGTTCCTTACAGGGAGAGGTCAACCCTCCTGTTTAAGGAGCTCCATTGGCTGCCGTTCATTTTCTGGGCCCAATTCAAGGTGCAGGTGCTTACCTACAAAGCCCTAAACAGTTTAGGATTCATCTACCTGCTTGACCGCATTTCTGTATACGAACCCACACAATCTCTTCGTTCATCTGGAGAGGCCCTGCTCACGATCCCACCTGCATTGCAAGCGCAATTGGTGGGAACGAAGGACAGGGCCTTCTCGGTGGTGGCTCCTCGACTCTGGAACTCCCTCCCCAAGGACATCAGGCAGGCCCCAACGTTGGCAGTCTTTAGAAGGATGTGGATGTTCCAGTGTGCCTTCCCAGAATAAGGAATCCCAAGCAATATGTCCCAAATGCACTTTACGAGAGATTTAGAATTGTCTGCACGCCCACCTATCCCTAAAATATCCATCCTATTTCTCCTGGACTTGCCCAGCATTTTTAAAATTTTAATCATTATATTTGGCCCTGCCACAGGTTTTTAAATGCGTCGTGATATTATGGTTATGTTTTGCTTTGTTATGAGTTATTTATTGTTGTATTGTTGTGTTTTATTGATGTATTTGGGCTCGGCCTCTTGTAAGCCGCACCGAATCCTGTGGGAGATGGTAGCGGGGTATAAATAAAGGATTATTATTATTATTATTATTATTATTATGTTTTTAATTGTATTTTATGGTCTTGGTACCAACTGTGAACCACCCCGAGTTGTCTGCGGGCTGAGAGGGATGGTATATAAATATAGTAAATAAATAAATTTACTACAAACTCACAACAACCCAGTGATTCCAGCCATGAAAGTCTTCAACAATCTATATAAATAAAAATGTAATGTTCGTTTGTGGGATTAACAGAAATCAAAAACTACTGGGGGGATTGACACCAAATTTGGACACAAGACACCTAACAACCAAATGTATGTCCTTCACTCATAAAAACACTGAAAAACACAGCAGAAGGGACTTAAAAAGCCCCAAAAATCTAAATGACAATACAGAAAAAAGGAAGAAAGAGGGAGGGGAGAAAAGAAAGAAAGAAAGAAAGAAAGAAAAAGAGAAAAAAGAAAAAAATACAAAAGTACAAAAATTAAAGAAAAGAACAGAAAAAATGAAAGTAGGAGGTTAGACCACACCTGGAATATTGTGTCCAATTCTGGGCACCACAATTGAAGAGAGATATTGAGAAACTGGAATGTGTCCAGAGGAGGGCGACTAAAATGATCAAGGGTCTGGAGAACAAGCCATATGAGGAACGGCTTAAGGAGCTGGGCATGTTTAGCCTGAAGAAGAGAAGGCTGAGAGGAGATATGATAGCCATGTATAAATATGTGAGAGGAAGCCACAGGGAGGAGGGAGCAAGCTTGTTTTCTGCTTCCTGGAGACTAGGACAAGGAACAATGGCTTCAAACTACAAGAGAGGAGATTCCATCTGAACATGAGGAAGAACTTCCTGACTGTGAGAGCCGTTCAGCAGTGGAACTCTCTGCCCCGGAGTGTGGTGGAGGCTCCTTCTTTGGAAGCTTTTAAACAGAGGCTGGATGGCCATCTGTCGGGGTGTTTTGAATGCAATATTCCTGCTTCTTGGCAGGGGGTTGGACTGGATGGACCATGAGGTCTCTTCCAACTCTGATTCTATGATTCTATGATTCTACAAAGAGAGAAGGAAGGAAGGAAAGAGGTAGAGAAGGAAGAAAGGAGTGAAAGAGGGAGGGAAAGAAAAAAGGGGAAGGAAGAAAAGTTAAAGAAGGAAGGAAGGAGAGAAGGAAGGAAAAAAGGGAAAGAAGGAAGGAAAGAAGGAACGAAGGAAGGGGGGAGATGAAGAGAAAGGGAGGAAAGGAAAGAAGGAAAGAGAGAAGGAAGAAAAGGGAGATAGCAGAAGAGAAAGAAAAAGGGGGAAGGAAGGAAAGAGATAGAGAGGGAAGAAGGGAAGGAAAGACAGGAAGGAAGGAAGGAAGGAAGGAAGGAAGGAAGGAAGGAAGGAAGGAGAAGGAAGGAAGAAGGAAGGAAGGGACGAAGGAAGGAGGGAAAGAAGGAGAGAAAGAAGGAGAGAAAGAAGGAGAGAAAGAGGGAAGGCTGGCCATAGCAACCCATGGTGGGTACAGCTAGTACAAAAATAGAGAAATGTTTTCCCCCTTTGCTTATATCTAATGTTATTTCCCCTGCTCCTCTCTCTTTCTCTGTTTGTCTTCTGTTCTCATTCTCTCTCTCTCTCTCTCTCTTTCCCACCAGCAGAGGGAATTTAACAGCATGCAAGACCGGGTGATGCTTTTAGCCGACAGCTCCGAAGATGAATTTTGAATCAGTCTGCAGCGCCGCGGCGTCGTGATCTCGAGTGACTCTCTCTCTCTCTCTCTTTCTGTCTCTCTCTTTCTATATATTTTTTCCTGCAAAGGGAGGTGGGTCGGGAGAAGGCCTTTTTCTGCTGCATCACAGCTGCCAACCACATTCCCGCACGGCAACGGCAGTTTGTACAGCCTGTCCCCGAACGAAACCACACACTCACACACGAGACACCCACACCGAAAAAGAGCATGCTGCAGCGCAAGTGTAACACACAACTACATTTGATTTTTTAATATATATATATCTATACACCCAATACCGTGGCAGTACAACTTCATAGTCATGTGCCGCATGCCATTCAGAGGTAATGTCGACAACGGATACAGTGGCACAGAGGCTGAAGTGAGGGATAATAGACCTTCAAATATTAATTTTCCATTCTGGCCGACAGCGATCAAGCTGTCGCCGGTCTTGTTGCAGTTATTGGGGAAGGAAGTCTTCTGCCTAGATACATTCTGTTCCTCATTGGGAAGCTCGCTCTTTCTTTTTTTGTGTTGCATTACCTGAGCGGGAGTTCACGGCATCTAAAATTAACAGCTGTGTTTAATTAATGAAGTGCCAACTGGAAGCAGCCTATTTCCGCAGCACGGTAGTAGCTATATAGAATACTATCAACAGATGCAACGATATGTATAGTACACTACGCTTAGGGCTGAATTTGACAATGCATTTTTTTAAAGTAGCTTGGAAAGAGAAAGAGAGGATAGAAGGGTAAAGAAGTGTTTGATCTTTCCTCTACTTAGTGGTTTTGTCCTCGACCTGCACCTTTCTCAGGGCGCTTCCAGACAGCACTTAATCACGGGTTTTAAAAATCCCGGGACTTCAGAAGAGGTCCACATACAGACCTGTTAATTCCCGGGATTTCTGACTCTGTTCTCCAGACTTGATGCTTTGTTGCTAGATTTGGAGGCTCCCAAGATGACCGCAGTGAGACTTCCACCAGAAAACTCGAGATGCAGATATGCAGAGATTCGGATATACGGATCACTGCAAAAGTCCGCAAGTGCCCTCTAGATGTTTCATGAAGTATCTGCCACACAAACAAACCTAATGGGGTAGGACCACTTCTGCCCAAGTCACAATAAAACAGGAACACACACTTTCAAGCCAGGAACAGAACTTTGTCATTGTTGACACTTTCTAGAACCTGGCTGCCTGGCCATCTGTCCAGACAGATTCGGTTGTGTACTTGTGGCATCAAACAATAGGGTTGTATTCCTGGGTTGTCCCTGATTCCTCTTATAGTGATTAGATGTACAACATTGACTAGGGGGGCACAACTTTGTCCGAGCCAGAGAAAATGTGCCCTCCACATGTTGCATGAAGTTTCTGGCACACAAACAAACCTAATGGGGTTGGACCACTTCTGCCCAAGTCAGCACTGCACAATCAAACAGGAACACACACTTTCAAGCCAGGAACAGAACTTTGTCATAATTGACACTTTAGATCCTGGCTGTCTGGCCATCTGTCCAGACAGATTTGGTTGTGTACTTGTGGCATCAAACAATAGGGTTGTGTTCCTGGTTATACATGGTTGTTCCTGTTTCCTCTTATAGTGACTAAATGTACAACATTGACTAGGGGGCCACAACTTTGTCCCAGCCAGAGAAAATGTGCCCTTCATACATTTCATGAAGTTTCTGGCACACAAACAAAGTTTTTGCCTTCTACTCAAGTGTCACCTTCTTGTTAGGAAGCCAGCAATCAGGAACAAATGCCTAAAACCCAGGAACAAATCTAAATTTTAAAAAAATCCCATGATTTCCAAGTGCAGGGACATTATTGATACACTCTAGAACCTGGTTGCCTGGCCATCTGTTCAGACAGATTTGGTTGTGTACTTGTGGCATCAAAAAATAGGGTTGTGTTCCTGGGTTATACAGGGTTGTTCCTGTTTCCTCTTATAGTGAATACATGTACAACATTGACTAGGGGGGCACAACTTTGTCCCAGCCGGAGAAAATGTTCGCTTCGCACGTTTCATGAAGTTTCTGGCACACAAACAAAGTTTTTGCCTTTTACTCAAGTGTCACCTTCTTGTTAGGAAGCAAAAAATCAGGAACAAATGCCTAAAACCCGGGAACAAATCTAGATTTTAAAAAATCCCATGATTTCCAAGTGCAGGGACATTATTGACACACTCTAGAACCTGGTTGCCTGGCCATCTGTCCAGACAGATTTGGTTGTGTACTTGTGGCATCAAACAACAGGGTGCTGTTCCTGGGATATACATGGCTGTTCCTGTTTCCTCTTATAGTGAATAGATGTACAACATTAACTAGGGGGGCACAACTTTGTCCCAGCCAGAGAAAATGTGCTGTCCACATGTTTCATGAAGTTTCTGGCACACAAACAAAGTTTTCGCCTTGTACTCAAGTGTCACCTTCTTGTTAGGAAGCTAACAATCAGGAACAAATGCCTAAAACCCAGGAACAAACCTAGATTTAAAAAAAACACATGATTTCCAAGTGCAGGGACATACAGACATGCGAAGATCCACATATTCAGCTCAAAACCATGATATTCCCGCATCTGGAAATTGCACGTTTTTTGCCTTTTGTAAGCAATTGCTTCTGTGTTTACAGGGAATGGCATCTGGTCACCCTCCTGTTTGTTGTGGAAGCTCCTGAGATAAAGGTACTGTTTGGACAGGCCCTCAGGGGAAAATGTGTGAATTGTTTTCATGGAATAGATGTCCAAAAGGACAAGGTTTTGCTTGCTGATGTTCTTAAAACTGACAGTTCCTTAAACCTGCCTTTTGATTTAAATCAAAATAGTGTTCATGTATTTTCCATCCAATTTGGCCTTCTAAGCATGTTGGCTATGCCAGATAAATAACCAATTGCCATAGTCTAGGGCTGCATGCTTATGTGTGCGGATCAGGAATATGTTTCGTTCTGCTTTGCAGGGTACAAATAGGTCCGTTGTTTGGTTATTACTCAGCTCTCCTGGCTGGAAATAACAACTGTCTTCCTTGCTATACGTCACATTTGGTGTGGAAGTCAGTGTGTGTGAGTTTTGCAAGGGCTCTGGTTCAGGAAGTGACAAAATGAATCCTCTCTCCTTCTAAGCCAGTGACCCCCAACTTTGGATAGACAGTAGAGTCTCGCTTATCCAACATAAACGGGTCTGCAGAGCGTTGGATAAGCAAAAATATTGGATAATAAGGAGGGATTAAGGAAAAGCCTATTAAATGTCAAATTGCATTATGATTTTACAATTTAAGCACCAGAATATCATGTTTTACAACAAATCGGCACAAAAAGCAGTTCAATACACAGTAACATTATGTAGTAATTACTGTATTTACTAATGTAGCGCAACAACATTGCAATGTATTGTAACAGCTGTGGGTCCGGGTGGGAGGCAGACTTAGAATCATAGAATCAAAGAGTTGGAAGAGACCTCATGGGCCATCCAGTCCAACCCCATTCTTCCAAGAAGTAGGAATATTGCATTCAAATCACCCCCGACAGATGGCCATCCAGCCTCTGTTTAAAAGCTTCCAAAGAAGGAGCCTCCACCACCCTCCGGGGCAGAGAGTTCCACTGCTGAACAGCTCTCACAGTCAGGAAGTTCTTCCTCATGTTCAGATGGAATCTCCTTTCTTGTAGTTTGAAGCCATTGTTTCGTGTCCTAATCTCCAGAGAAGCAGTAAACAAGCTTGCTCCCTCCTCCCTGTGGCTTCCTCTCACATATTTATACATGGCTATCATATCTCCTCTCAGCCTTCTCTTCTTCAGGCTAAACATGCTCAGCTCCTTAAGCCACTCCTCATAGGGCTTGTTCTCCAGACCCTTGATCATTTTAGTCACCCTCCTCTGGACACATTCCATCTTGTCAACATCTCTCTTGAATTGTGATGCCCAGGTAATTGGATAATACAGGACTTTGGATGACTGAAGGTTGGATAAGCGAGACTACTGTAATTGGTACGGTGCTGATTCTTTTCCCTGGTTTACAACTGAATGGGTGCCTTTCTTTTGAGCTCAGAAAGATAGATAGAGTACAATCCCCATATCCATGGTGGGTATGTTACAAGACCCCCTGTGGATACCTGAAACCATGGAAAATAGTGAAACCTGGAAGTTTAGCATAAGCTTTAAGAGGTGCACAAAGACTTTAAGATAGAGGATATCCTTTGGGGCATGGGTAAGAGAACTCTGTGGATAATGGTGATTGTAGTGTATATGTAGAGCTTAGAAATGTTACTTTTTGACTCTAACTCCCAGAATGCCCCAGCCAGCATGGCACATGGCCACTCTTCATACACCTTGAAGGTGTAGGATGTAACTTCAACATTCAGAATCTCTTGCGGCTATGGTGTGGCTCTCCTTGGTCTACTACAGTGCGCAGTCCTCTAGATATTGTTGTGCTGTAGCTCCCAGTATCCTGCATTTTTTGAGTTGCATTTTCCGGGGGAAAAGGAAGGGGCCTGAGGCTGTTAGGAATGGTGGGAGTTGGAGTCCAAAACATCCGGAGAACCCAAATTTGCCCATGCCTGATGTAGATGCATCCCAGGTATATATACTTACCAAACGTGGACCATTGGAAGGTATGGAGCCCATAGTGTTATCCTTGCGTAGTGTGAAAGGACTTTAGTATGAAACAAATCTGAGCCATTACACTCTTACAAAAAAAGGGAACAGCTTTATCCCAAGTGCTGTTATCCATCTGCTTAACACTAGGTCTCTAATCTGATCAGCAGGGCTTTTTGCTTCTTGAGCCGAATGACATTTCGCCTCCCACCGCAGTTCAATGTATAGAAGCCGTAATTGAAACTTTCACGTTGGCAATAAGCTGGGATATGGCATGCAGGCAAGTAAAGATCCAGGCAGCTTTGCTTTCCATTTTTGCTGCTCTCCATGATCTGCTGCCTGAGGCAACTGTTTCGTTTTGCCTCGTGAGAGAGTCGACTGTGCCGATTCACATGAATGTTTTAGCTGGAAATAGACCATGACATAATCTATATAAATAAAAATGTAATGTTCGTTTGTGGGATTGACAGAACTCAAAAACCACTGGACGAATTGACACCAAATTTGGACACAAGAGATCTAACAACCCAATGTATGTCCTTCACTAAAAAATATGATTTTGTCATTTTGGAGTTGTAATTGCTGGGATGTATAGTTCACCTACAATCAAAGAGCATTCCGAACCTCACCAACGATGGAATAGAACCAAACCTGGCACAAAGGATTCTGGAAGGGTTTGGTGGGCACTGATCTTGAATTTGGGAGTTGTAGTTCACCTACAATCAGAGAACACTGTGGGATCAAACAATAATGAATCTGGACCAAGCTTCGCATGAATACTCAATACACCCAAATGTGAACACTGGTGGAGTTTGTGGAAAATAGACCTTGACATTTGGGAATTGTAGTTGCTGAGATTTATAGTTCACTTACAATCAAAGAGCATTCGGAACCCCAACGATAAAATTGGGCCAAACTTTCCTCACAGAACCCCCATGACCAACAGAAAATACTGTTACCTGGTGGTCTTTGGTGACCCTTCTGACATCCCCTCACGACCCCCCCCCCAAGAGTCCTGACCCCCAGGTTGAGAAACGCTGCTGTAGTGTCTCCCCCCATTGAACAGCTTTTGTCATCTGGAGGTGCTTCCTAATATCCAAATGCATCTTCAGCATGCAGAGGAG